ATTGGTGAGTGACGTCAACATCCAACCGCTGGATCAGCCCGCATTGCGACGGAAGATATGCTTTGTGCTACTGTTCATTGTTTTAAGTACTGTACGGAAGGTCGGAAGTACGGAAAGCTCGTGATTGGAGAGCGACATAAAGTGTTGTGCTGGGCGGGATGACCGTCGTAGAAAAAGTACGGGGAAATACCGTGCGAATGGGTGGCGTGTGTGCGTACGGCGTTCGTGTGCGTGTGCGTGTTTCACAAACGACGTTCATGTCAAACCCGCGCCGCCTCCGCTTCCACGTCCTCAGGTCTGTTGCCTATTTGGGCAATGCCGTCGGGCTGCCAGCGGCGCCTGGTTTGGGTCTGATGGATCCAGATCACGTGCTACATCGGATCTTTGCGTACGACCCGCCAGCGCTGGACAGTTTGTGGGATGCCGTACGAGCCGGCAAGACGTGGAGCGGTCTCGTCTGCATGCCGTCACACCTAGATCTCCGGGGCCTGCGGGACGCCGCCAGCGCCGCCGCCAAGTCCACGTCACCATGCGCCGGCCAACGCGCCCTCAGTGCGGCCGCCGACGCCACAGCTGCCGTCGTCCCCGAAAGCATGCCATGGAGCCAGGGGCTGTTGTACGGCGGCGGTGGCAGCGGTGGAGTCGGTGGCGGCGGCGCTGCCGATACGGACGTCGTGGGCTTGCTGCTACAGCAGCTGCAGCGGCACGGGAGCGGAACGGGCTTGCGGGTCGGTGGCGGCGCGACGGCGGCTACAGCTACGTGCGCCTCGGCGGCGGCGGTTGCTGTACCTGTCGGCTCTGGACGAGGGGTGGGGGAGAGGAGCACAGCTGTCGTTACCGCGGCCGCCGCTGGCTGTGGCAGCGGCGACAGCGGTGGCGGCGGCGGCGGGGGCTCCTGGGGAGTCGGCTGGGTATCGCATCTGCCGTCCGCCAGCTTGCCATCGCCACAGGCGCCGCCGGCCGAATGCAACGCCAGCGCCGCCGGTTCACTCTCTCCTGACGTGGTGGCCACTATTACAGGGCCGCCGCCGCCGCGAGCTACTGCAGCCACAGCCGGGGGCAGTAGCGGTGGCGGCTGCAACAACAGCGGCAGCCGCGGCAAACCCGTTATGAAGCTGCCGCGCAACGTCTCGGCACCCACCTTTCACAGCGTTGCGAGCTCTAGTCGTCCTCTGCCGTCGGTACTGGAGGCGGAGGCAAGCTGCGGCGGCAGCGTTTGCGGCAGCGGAAGCGCCGCCGCCGTCAGCGTGGCGACCCTTCTGGCGCACCGTGCCAGCTGGAACGCCGACCAGACATTCCCAGCCCAAGCTGGAACGTCGCTGTACGGCAGCTCTCCGTTGACGACGCCGTCAAGGCAGCTATCCACTTCGGCGTCCGTCGGTAGCGGCGCAGCTGGCGGCGGCGGCGGCGGCAGTGCAGGACTGTTTGGTCCTTTGGGCCTGATCCACAGCCCTTCTTCAGCTCAGCTGTCGTACTGGGCCAACTCCCGCCGTACACTCATTCACAGGTCAAACAGCCTGGCGCAGACGGAGTACGCCCTGGACGGTAGCTACCGCGCCATGCGGATTGCGGCGTCAGCGGCGTCTCAGGGCCTTCTAGGCCAGGGGCCTACTACTGCTTTCGCTGGCGGCGGCGGCGGGTGGTCGTACGGCAGCGCTGACGGCCTTCAGTGCTGCAGCCCCCGCGGCTTGGATGCGTCCCTCGCGGATCAGATGTCGGGTCCCAAGTTTGTGCCGCCCCTGGTAGCTAGTACGGCAGCGGCAGCGGCGCCAGCAGCGACGGCCGCGCGGAGAGTCCTAAGCGCCAGCGTGACGAGCGTGCGAGCTTCATGCGGCGGCGGCGGCGGCGGCGGCGGCGGCGGCGGCGGCGGCGTCCGAGGATTCTCTGTGTCGAGCGGTGCTACGACCAGTTTAGCGACGGCGGGAGAGGAGCTCGCGCATACCGCGAGGCGGCGGCGGCGGCGCCGTCACCGCTTCTGCCCAGTGCATCGCCGCCGTACGTTAGCAACTGCTGCTGGCATGAGGTTCAAGCAAACCTGGTTCTGGATCCGGTTTCAACGGAATGGAATCTGGTGCTCGCATTCCATGACGTCATGTCGTACGTGCAGGCTGAGCTGGAGGTTAGACAGGTCTTAGATGCTGAGGTGAGAGAGCTTTGTTGTGCAGTCACAAATGGAAAAGGCAAAGCGATATGTATAAATGTTATTGCATCCGTTGGGATTTGAATGGTGTACCTTCCAGCTTTGCGGAATGAAATTCAAAACGAATCTGTGTGGCCTTTGATCCCATTTTCTTTTGGGCCGTGCTCTCGACGGCTCACCTTCCTGGACCTGGATCTGGATCTTGATGCTTCATGGATGGTACGACGGCGGGTTCGCACCACCCGCCGTACAGCACCGCATCCTTGAAGAAGTCTTTCCGAGACACGTGCTGGAGGTGATGACGTCAGACAAGTGCCGTACATCGACTTTTGGCGGCGGCGGCGGCGGATGTCCCTCCCTGGTGCGCACTTCCTCCTTGTCATCGACTTACACTGTCAGCGGCGGTGCCGCCGCCACCGCCGGCAGGCAGCTGTCGTGTGGCGGACGTGGCGTGGGCCAGCCGGCACCTGCGCTAGCCGGCGGCGACGACGCAGCCGCTGCCGCGCCGATGGCGACGGTCTTTGGGCGCAGTTCGGCGCCAATCCTGTGCTCGCCAAGGAGCCCTGCCCGGGCGGCGGCGGCAGCGGCGGCGGCGGCGGTGGCGGCGATACCTGACGGCCCTAGCGGTGGCGGCAGCGACGTCGGCGGCGTCGGGGCTGTCGTGCCTCATAGCCTGGCACACGATTTGTTCTCGCCGCCGTCGTCAACCACTGACGGCAATGCCGCCGCCACCGACCCCGCCATCGCAACACGCCGTATTCAGCCGTACCTCGCCGCAATGTCTGGCCGCAGCGCCACCGCCGCCTCGGCCACCGCTGCTGCCGCCGCAGCCACCAACGGCTGCAGTGGAGAGCGCCGCAGCATCAGCACGAATTTAGGCGCGTCTTGTAGCCTGGCGTCGTATAACCACTGCACAGCCCATGGAGTGTACGACAGTTGAGACGATCGTACAAGCTTCGGCTGCTTCAGTCATCAACTTCATGCGAGCAGTGATAACATCGCAGAGCCTTGCGGCCTTGACAGCTGCGGCGCCGTCACCGCCGCCGCTGCTGCTACTGCCGCCGCCGCCGCCGCCGCATGCGCCCCAGCGCCGCCGGGCCTCTGCGGCGACGCAACGGAGGCGGCCGCCACAGCGGCCCCCGTCGCCACCACCCTCCCATCGCCGCCGCCACCTGTCCGCCCGCTACAGCTCCCCAACGCGCAATCAGCATTGGGCTCCAGCTACAGCCACAGTCACAGCGTCACCTCACCCTCCACGCCCTCGTGTGGTGGTTTCGGAGCCTTGAGCGGCGCACAGCAGTACATGGCGAGAGCGCATGAGGAGGTGACGGTGCTATTCGCAGGTGGGTTGCCGGTGGGGTGTGTTTGAACTGTGTGTGGCGGTGGTTCAACATAGCGCCCGGGGTATTACGACAACGGTTTCAACTGACGACAACGGTTTGCCGTACTTTACCGTAACTGATGCACGGTCCCTCGCTTACATAATATACAAAATACACTGTCACCATGAGCTGTTTACCTTTTTATTATAATGGATGCTTGAAGTTTTTGAATTTTTTATATTTTTTATATTTATATTTTTTATATTTATATTTTTTTATTTTTTATATTTTTAATATTTTGTTATACTCGTAAAGTTGTGTCTTCAGTAATCTCTTCCTACCCCATGTGCACGTGTAATTTACGTGATGATGGTTCGAATTCTCTATGTGCCGTACACAGACATCGCCTCCTTCACCAGCATGTGTGGTCAGGTTCCGCCCCACCGAGTCATGGCGTTCCTCAACGACCTCTTCACCACTTTTGACCAGCTGGTGGAAGCATCAAGTTTACAAGGTCTAGACCATTGGAGGTACGGCATTGTACGGCATCGTCGTACATATCATAGTGCGGAAGTGTACGGAACTGAGGCGATGCCGTTTTTGCATAATTTGGCGGAACGGCTGCCGAGAAGCGTGACTGTGTTACATTCCAGACCAGGTGTATCCTATCTTGTGTGTTCGATAGGCGCTCTCCTGTTCGATCCTTTTTTCATAGCTTTTGATACCTGTACCAAACCATCTTTTTCATATCCTCGTCTTTGGAAAACTGTCGCAAACGCTGCTTAATCTGGAAGCTGACCTAAATTGCTTCTTTCCGCTTTCGTCGAACGCAGATTGCTACATGGTGTGCGGCGGACTTGTAGAAGAGGACGCCGAGGGATTCAGGTACGACTGGTACGACCGGTACGAAACAAAAGGAAGGTTCTTTTGTTTCCCTCTTGTTGTAGCTCCCTGTTGATAAAATTTAATACGCAACTTCTTAAACATCACTCCTGCCGGTGCCAATCCATATGCCGTACCCACGCCGTACAACCACCGCCGTACATCACAGGTCCGTTACAGAGGCCGTGGATCCCCTGCACGCGCACAAGGTCTTTGCATTCGCCGCGTTGGAAGCGGCTCGCTGCGTGATGATGCCCG